ATGCTTTTAAACGTTAAATTGCCAACCATCAGTTCTTGCTGCCGGCGGTCTAGCACAGCGGATGAGCGGCGCTCTTCGAGTACAGATGCAGCCATGATGGAGGGTTGCGAAGATCTGGGTGACCCAAAAAGGGGCTCCAGCTGAAAAGGGGTGCTGCTCTAGATTTGGGATCCGGGAGCTTTAGAAGGCTCGTTGGGTCGTCTTTGAATGGTATGCCGAAGAGTGCGCGCTTCGGGCTGTCTCAGGGCGCTCTTGGGGCCGTGCTGGGTGTTTGTGGGGCAATCTCTGGAGTCCCGGAGCGGTGCGGTGACAGACCGTGCGATGATCTCGGAATCCCCGGAGGTCTCACCGCACGGTCCGTCGACGCACGGTTTGGGGACCTCGGACGCCCCAGTCGCCCAAGACGTCCTCGGAGAACGACTCGAATCCCAAAACCGTGCGGTGACCCCGAATCCGCACCGACTCTCCACACGGTGTGGTCGCCACCCCATTTGGGGACCCCCGAAGATTTGGGGCAATTGTATCGCACATGCACTGCGCCGGAAAATTGTCTTGCAGCGTATTGCAACCAATGCATTGCGCGGGAAAGCCAGCAACACATCTACGCCCCGGAAGGTACTGCTCACTGCCAATCTGACTACCTACCAGACCACCCCAACCAAACCCGAAGACCCAAAGTTCGCCCGAATTTCCGGTAGGGGGGGGGTACGGGCTTCATCCATGTTTTTGTCCATGTTCCCCGACCCCCCCCACTGGAAATGGAGGGCAAATCGGGGCCTCCGGGTCGGGTTGGGGTGGCTTGGTGGGTGATGACAATTTACTGCACTAGAAGAAGAACAAAGACCTATACATCAACTCTTGGCGCTCCGCGCGGATTTCTTGGATTCGCGCTGGACCCCCCCTCCTTGGCGCGCCCAGCGCGCCAGGGGCGGCGCCAGAGGTGCCGCCGGGCGGCCCAGACGCGGAACCAAGAAATCCGCGCGGAGCGCCAACAGTTTATGTGTATGTGGTTTTGTCTTCGTCGGTGCACCACCCCCTTGTCGCTGGACCCCCCCTTTTGGGCCAGCCCGACCCAAGGAGGTGGGGCCGCATCGCCGCGCCCAGCGAGCAGCGGCAGCCCCGGCAGAGCCTCAGCCGCCTCGGCCGCCAGCCTCGGCCGGCCGCCGCGGCTCTTGCGCAGTGGCCGCACGGTGCACCCCGAGGACAGTGCGAAACTGCCGCGCCGCCGCGCGCTGCAGGGCGACGCGGAGCTCAGCGCCCCAGCGCTGCGCTCCTCCTCCTGCCCCTCCTCCTCGCGCGTGCTCCTCGCGAGCTCCTCCTCGCGAGTTCCTCCTCGAGCTCCTCGCGTCCACGCGCGAGGAGGAGGAACGCCGACGATCACGTCAGAGGCCCGTTCTGGGGAGCTGCCTCGAGCCGCTGGCTCACCTCGTGCGTCGCTGCTGCGTCGAGCGTCCGTCGCCTTGAGCCGCATTGGAGTCGAACTGGAGTCTGGCTCCTATGGCCTCCTCGGGTCCCGGCACCGCCTCCGCGCCATCCCCGACCACTCATTCGCAGGGGCTGCCGATGGCCAGATGACAAAAATAAGCCGATGCCGCTGCTCGTCCTGGAGAGTCCCCACCACGCTTGGATTCTCCTCGAAAATATGGTCAACACGCGCCCCAGGAGAGGTCTGGGGAGTAGAGGTATCGGTACCTACCATTTTGTCCCCGAAGGAAGGTACGTGGCTCATCGCGCCACTTGTCGGCCTCTTGGACGAGGAGGAGAAGGCGAAGGGTTATGATGGTAATGGTAATGAGCATGAGTGTTATGGTGGTGGTGATGATGATAATGATGATGATGATGTTGATGCTGGTGATGTTGATGGTGACGATGGTGGTGATGGTAATGGTGATGCTGATGCCAAGCATTGCTATTATTCTGGTAACGACGATGGTGATGACGACGCCGATGGCCATGGCGATGATGGCGAGTGTGATGGCGCAGCTGGTGAGGATGAAGGTGATCTTTATGATTCTGCCTATCGAGGTGGTAGTGGCGATGCCGATGGCGATGGCGACGGTGATGGCGATGAGGATAGTGATGCGCATGATGATGGCGATACTAGAAGTCATAATTATCATGATGCGAAGAATGGCAATGATAGTCTAAAACTATTGATAACAATAACAATGATGATGCCGATGATGATGCTGATGATAATGATGATGTTTGGTATGATGATGGTTACGATGATGATGATGATGGTTTTACTGGTGATGCTGATGCTGATGGTGGTGATGGTGATCATGGCGACGGTGGTGGTGATGCTGATGAAGATGGTGCCCGTATAAGTACTGTGGTGGTACTGATGGTGAAAACAATGACGATGACGATAACGATGACGATGATGATGTTGATGATGATGAGGATGAGGATGATGATGATACGGATGATGATTACAATGATGATGACGATGATGGTTAAGCTGATGCAGGTGGTGATGTTCGGAATGATGATGGTGAAGGTGATGATACTGATGCTGATGATGGTAATGATGATGACAGTGGCTACGGTGATGAGAAGTATGATGGTATGATGATGGTGAGGGTCATAATCAGTGTAGTAGTAGTAGCGGTGGTAGTAGTAGTAGCGGTGGTAGTAGTAGTAGTAGTCGTCGTAGTAGTAGGAGTAGTAGAAGTAGTAGTGGTAGTCGTGGTAGATGTAGTAGTGGTAGTGGTAGTGACAGTGGTAGTAATAGCCGTGGTAGTAGTAGTCGTAGTAGTAGTTGTGATAGTAGTAGTAGTGATAATAGTAGCAATAATAATAATAGTCGGTAGTAGGTAGTAGGTGGTAGGTAATAGGTAGTCGGTAGTAGGTGGAAGTAGTAGTAGTAGTAGTAGTAATCGTAGTTGTAGGAATAAAATAGTAGTTGTAGGGGTAGTATGAGTAGTAGTAGCATTCGTAGTCGTAATACATGTTGTAATACTAGTAATCGCCAGAGTAATTTGAGTAGTAGTAGTAGTAGTAGTAGTAGTGGTAGAAGTGGTAGAAGTGGTAGTAGTAGTAGTAGTAGCCGAAGTAATAGTAGTAGTAAAAGTAAAAGTAGTGGTAGTCGTAGTAGTAAGAGTAGTAGTAATGGTAGTAGTAGTAGTAGTAGTAGTAGTAGTAGTAGTAGTAGTAGTAGTAGTAGTGGTAGTAGTAGTCCGAAAGAAGAAATCGTCGTCGTCGTAGTAGTCGTAGTAGTAATAGTAGTAGCTGTAGTCGTGTAGTAGTAGTCGTCGCAATAATAGTAGAGTGGTAGTCGTAGTAGTAGAAGTAGTAGTAGTAGTAATAGTGTTAGTGGTAGTAGTAGTAGTAATCGTAATAGAATAGTCGTACTCGTAGTAGTGGTAGTAGTAGTAGTAGTAGTAGTCGTAGTAGTCGTAGTAGTAGTAGTAGTAGTAACAGTAGTAGTAGTAGTAGTAGTAGTAGTGGTAATAGTGGTCGTAGTAGTAGTAGTAGTAGTAGTAGTAATAGTAGTAGTAGTAGTAGTAGTGGTAGTGGCTGTGGTAGTATTAATAGTAATAGTAGCAGTCGTACTGGAAGTAAAGTAGAAATAGTATCAATATTAGTGGTACTAGTAGTAGTAGAAGTCGTAGTGGTAGTAGTCGTAGTAGCAGTCATGGTAGTAGCAGTAGTAGTAGCAGTAGTAGTAGTAGTAGTCGTAGTAGTAATAGCAGTAGCAGAAGTAGTAGTAGTAGTAGTAGTAGTAATGGTAATGCTGTCACCCGCATTCGAACCATTACTGGTACTAGTAGCAATAGTAATGTTAGTAGCGTTGATGGTGGTACGAATCGTATCCGTAGTAGAAGTCGTAGTAGAAGAAAGAACAGCGTACTCGTAGTGGTCGCATTTCGAGTATTGGTACTAGTTGTAGCGTTGGTACGTACAGTAATAATAATGGTGATGATAGTGGGAATAGCAATGCTCGTAGTAGAAGTAGTGGTAGTCGTAGTGGCTGTGGTCGTGGTAGTAAGAGAAGTCCTGGTAGCCGCAGGTAGTTGTGCTAGTAGGTATCGTATGTGGATTCATCCTGCCACTAGTGGTACCAATCAGTACTAGAGTTAGAATTCGTATAAATGTTCGTAGTGGCACTCGAAGTAGTAATCGCTGTAGTGGTAGTAGTTGTAGTAGGAGTAGGAGTGGGAGTAGTAGTAGTAGTAGTAGTAGTCGTAGCAGTAGTAGTAGTAGAAGTAGTTGTTGTTGTGGTACTAGCAGTAGTACTAGCAGTAATACTAACAGTAAGAAAAATAAGCACGACAAGGAATCGTCGTACTAATTGCAGTGGTGTTGGTGGTAGTAGCGCTACTGCTGGGTGGTAGTCGTAGTAGTAGTAGTAGTAGTAGTAGTAGTAGCAGTAGTCGTCGTAGTAGTAGAAGTGGTAGTAGTTCACATTAGAAAATTGTAATAGAAGAGGTAGAACGAATAATGATAGTAGTACTCGTAAAAGTACTGGAAATTTGAATAGTAGTCGCCGTACTGAGTCGAAAAACTACTAATAATAGTAATCGCAGGAACAGTAGCAGTAGTAGCGGTGGTAGTAGTAGTGGCTGTAGTAATAATAATAAAAATAGTCGTAGCAATCGCAGTAGTAGTAGTAGTAGTAGTAGTAGTAGTAGTAGTAGTAGTAGTAGTAGTAGTATTACCAGTAGTAGTAGTAGTAGTAGTAGTAGTAGTAGTAGTAGTAGTAATAGTAGTAGTAGTAATAGTAGTAGTAGTAGTAGTAGTAGTAGTAGTGGCCGTAGTAGTAGTACTAGTACCGGTAGTCGTAAGAGTAGTAGTAGTAGTAGTAGTAGTAGTAGTAGTAGTTGTAGTAGTAGTAGTTGTTTCTAGTAGTAATAGGTGATAGTAGTAGTAGTAGTAGTAGTAGTAGTAGTAGTAGTAGGTGGAAGTAGTAGTAGTAGTAGTAGTAGTAGTAGTAATAATAGTAATAGTAGTACTAGTAGTAGTCGAAGAAGAAGAAGAAACCTGTGTACATACATACATATAGAAACAAATCGTTGAACTTGTAATAATGGTGCTAATAACACTCCTCCTCTCCCTGGTCCTCCTCCTTCGACTCGCGTTCCCGTTCTGCCCCTCCTCCTCCGCGGGAGCTCCTCGTAAGCTCCGCAGAAGCTGCTCGGACGCTCCTCAGAAGCTCCTCAGAAACTGAAGCTGCTCGGACGCTTCTCAAAAGCTCCCTACAAGCCTCCCAGAAGCTCCTCGGAAGCTCCTCAGAAGCGCTTTAGAAGCGTTTCAGAAGCGCGTGGGGGGCGCATCCGACGCGCTTCAGAAGCGCTTCAAAAGCTCATGCGAAGCACTCCAGAAGCTCTGGAGAGGTTGCAATCTGGTTGTAATCCGGTGTCCGTCTTGTAGATTTCGTATAAGAATCCTTCACGTTGCGATCGGCCACGTTCGGTGGTTGGAATCCGCCCCAAGTAGTTCGTGAACGGTCAGCAGTGGTTCTAATCGGCCTCGTTCCTCCCCTAGGTCCCCCGTCATCCACCCTCCTCTGTGGAAGCACAAACAGAGCCTCTGCTGTGGCCAGCACGACAAGAGGAGGGCTGCAGACGCTTAGAATGCTACAAGGCTGCCCGGATCGCACTCTGGAGGTCCCCGGTGGCCCAGCAGCTTTTTTGTCGGCGGCGAGGCAGAGGCAGTCCGCTCCAACGTGACGCTAATCGGGGCAGACGAAAGGCGACTTGTCCGGCGTGCAAGACAAAGGAAAGAAGACAAGGGCGGCCGCGCGGGGGGAGAAGGGGGGGAAAGCTCTCAGACGTGGAGAAATACGTGGCCCAACGCGCGTCAAACCTCGACCTTCCATCCTCGACTCCTCTTCGGCCGGTCGCTCGGTCAGAGCCTCAGCATGGACGAGTCCACTGCCCATCCTGAGTCATCCTGAGCATAGTGATAAGACTGACTCATACTCAGAATCATCAGAGTCATCCTCTCCTATTCATACTCATATGCGTACTCGTATTCATCACCACCATTATCGTCGTGATCACCCTCGTCGTCACTATGATGATGGCCATGCTCGTCATCATTACGGTCACCACCACCATCTTCACCACGGTCAAAAACAACATCCGGCATCAACAACAGCATCACCATCACCAGCACCAGCACCATCATGATCACCATAACGGTCATCCCCATCAACATCTCGATCCTCATCCTTTTCATCCTGCCCTTGTTCCTCCATCTCATCCTCCTCCTCCTCCGCAGTAGTACTGTTAGTAGTGTTAGTGGTAGTGACAGTAGCAGTAGCAGTAAAAGTCGTCGTCGTCGTAGTTGTCGTAGTAGTAGTCGTCGTAGTAGTAGTAGTAGTAGTGGTAGTTAGTCGAAGTAATAATAATAGTAGTAGTGGTAGTAGTAGTAGCAGCAGCTGTGGTAGTAGTAGTAGTAGTAGTAAAAGTACTAGTAGTAGTAGTAGTAGTAGTAGTAGTAGTAGTAGTAGTAGTAGTAGTAGTACTAGTACTAGTAGTAGTAGTAGTAGTAGTAGTAGTAGTGGTAGTAGTAGTAATCGTATTACCAGTAGTAGTAGTAGTAGTAGTAGTAGTAGTAGTAGTCGTAGTAGTAGTAGTAGTAGTAGTATAGTAGTAGTATAGTAGTAGTAGTAGTAGTAGTAGTAGTAGTAGTAGTAGTAGTGGTAGTAGTAGTAGCGGTAAGTGGTAGTAGAAGTAGTAGTAGTAGTAGTAGTAGTAGTACTAGTAGTAGTAATAGTAGTAGCAGCAGTGGTAGT